ATCTTTCAGATTTGTTCTTGAGTTAATAAATTTTCGTTTTTTTGTACACTAAAAAAACTATGGAAGACAGAAACTTAAATAAATGCGTATAAAAATGCAGTAGTCAATATAATTACACTGGCTAATGGAGTTTCGGTATTTCCATCACTATGTGTTAGTATGTGGAGGTCTTCATCGGTATGAGTTTCGGTTTCAATTTTATAGAGAAATTCCGCAGATACTGGTTTGTGGTCAGATAATGTATACTCAGGATGTGATTTATATGATAGCTGATCGAGACTCAACTTAATGCTAGGATATTTATCAGCTTGAACACGATATAGAATGCGATCACACCATGCAGGTCTACGATTTAAATCGTAATCCGATGTACCCTCAATAAATTTGAATGTAGGTGCAAAATCAATTGTATGCTCTTCTAATCGGCCAAAAGCATTTCCAGTTTTACGCACTAAATTTAATTGATCACGTTCAAGTAGCTCAGCAAATTGGCGAGCTTCCACTAAAGTACGTATATCCCAGGCTGAGTCAGTACCATCGATGCGAAAGTTTAGATCACCAAACCAAAAAACAAAATCGTGATCAAATATCGTTTTGTATTTGTTTGTATCATAGTGATGATTATTTATAATTTGATTATAATCTTCTATTCGTTCTTTTAGTTTTTTGTCGTGAGCTGCTAAATGTGCACCAACAAATGCCACACCAGTACCATATAAACTCATACGTATGCTAACTGCACCTTTGTTACCCCATAAGCCACCAAAACCAGTCTTAGTACTTCCAACTTCAATATCCTTTATATGTGGAATATGCTGTATTTGCGAAAACATCATAATGAGAATTCCTTGCAATTGTTCTGTTGATACTTTGGCAAACTGTTTATCGTTAAAATGTTCACGTATCTTGAAAACCCAAGGATCATCTTGAAAATAGTTTAAAAGTTGATTTTTTGGCTTGGTATTAACTTCTTGTAATGCAATAACATATATATCAGGGATTTGTTGGTCAGGGCAATTGGAAGTACCATTTAGCGATAGTGCATCTGTCAATGACAGATTATTTGGCGAATTCGTACCAACGTTCCAAGTTAATATATAAATGCAGAGATCTGCAATAGCCTTTGCAGCGACCATGACTTATCGATTCGACGAATTTTATACTGGTTTTGAATTCAAGTCACGTTTATTTTTGCAAGTTTACGTCAATCTTGCTTATTACTAGTAAATTTTGTCCGCTTTTTTTATATAACACTTCACTTCAGCTCCGCGTCTGAAAGTTTTTTTAAATCTTATACGTACTCAACTAATACGCAATGCATCTATAAAAATATATTACTTTTACTTTAAATAATCAATCACAGCATTATTATTTCATACCTTTTATGGCTTCTGATTTACGAACTACTATTGTTGTTTTCCGCTGAACTCATTGACTACTAGAAATTCAAAGAGAGTGTAAATAAAGAATATAAATATTTTGTAGTAAACAGGTTGTGTCAGTGTGGAGAAATAGTAAAATTTTCAAAGTAAGCAACATAGTGCATGGTTGTATTTTTGTGCATGCAATAATACGTTTTATTACTGGTTAAAAGAGAAGTTTTGTGTAAAAGAAATCGGCAGGATAAAGAAAATACAGTAAAATAATTTCTGCAATAATATTCTAAAAAATGAAGCAAGACATTTTACTGATACCATCATGTACCATGAAATATAAAGAAAATGAATAAAAAGAATTATAACAATTTTTATGGTTGATTGATTGGCTGTAGTGACGATAAAGTTTTCTTTTCTGTTCAAATAGCGCAAGTATCATGAAAATTCACATTTTAAAATTAATCTCCGGAATTGATAAAAGAGACTATTTTTTAAAGACCTATCTTTTGACTGTCAACTAGAACTAGGTCTCTAAAATCAAATTTCTTAATATTACCAGAATTGGGCATGTACAAATGAAGTTATTATATATATATCTTTTCCAAATTTACCCAAATTTTGTCGTGGATGCCCACTGGGCCGCGGCTTGTCAATATTAAGGCAAATGAGCTTGGTTTTGCTCAGTAAAATTTTCTGATTTCGTAAATTGTATTTTGAAAGCACTTTACCTATCAATTTGTTAAAAATGATGTCAGTATTGCCTTCCCACTATATAATATTTTTACCATAATGTACCTTCAGTGTTGTATGTGATTTAAATTCTAATGTGAAGTAGTTTATTCTTTTAAATGCAACCCTGATTATTGATGAACTCTGAATCAGCTGTTCTTAATATTATGTTTATATTTTCTTTAGATCTTATAGCAAATTGTAATCATTTTTTGTGAAATATAATTGATATTAATATAATGACGTTAGAAGCACATAAAACTGATGAAAAATTGCTGACCACAATTCAGCAAGAATATAAAATTTTGGCTGAATAGTAAGTAAATTGAAATATCAAATTACAAATATTTAAATATCCATAATTTAAGTAAAATGATTGAATCGGAGCAAATAGGAGGTGTGTACGTTATACCTTCTTTCGGGAACTCATTGCGTAAGTGATTCTACTTTTTATTATGATTTGTATAAACTAAAATTTTTGAATAATGTATTTGATTTTATTTAATAATTCCTGATAAATCAAATTTAACACTTACAGTTTGGTATGCTGTGATTTTCATACGACAGGGATTTTACGCAGGTGGAATATTTCGGTTCACTATCCTATTACCAGATAAATTTCCTGATGATAAAACGTCTCCAGTAAGTTAATTCATAAATTTAATTTTATATTTGTTCAACAATTTATTCTTTTATAGACAATTATTTTTCAAAGCGATATTTTTCATCCGCTAGTTTGTCCCTATACTGGTACCTTAGACATATCAGCTGCGTTCCCGCATTGGCGTTCTGGTGAAGATCATGTATGGCAATTATTAAAATACTTGCAGGCTATATTTGTAGATACATTAGAATGTCTACATATGGTAGCTGGTACCGAAGGCACCCCGCAGTGTAATAACGTAAAAGCTGCTGAATTATTAAGACACAATCGTGCTGAATTTATTGCACAAGTTAAAGAATGTGTGAGCAATAGTAAGGATCGAATATATGAGCAATCACCAACAGATGATCCACATTATATAACATTTGAAAAGTTTGAACAGGAAGTTCATGGACCCACAATGGAGCATATACGTTTAAACAAACACTCATCTAATGCCGCAAATTCGACCAATTCAAAAGGTTTATCTTGGGTGAAAGAAGGTGAATTTACGCCTTTAAGCTTAGAATAAATTATTATTACTTGTATAGTTTATTAATGTTAATGTTTTTATTAATCTATTAATATTTTATTGAGTTATCACAGACGCAAAATTAAATAATTTTAACAATACATTTAAAACAGATCCTTTATATTTTTACATAAACATTAAAATATTTTTTAAAAAAACGTACTTTTTCAATCTATTTTTTTTATAACGCACTATGTGGAAATCAATCTTAGAATAATAATATCAATATATTTGTACGCGCGTCTAGGCATATATTCCATATTTTTTAATTCCAAGTATCCAGTCATTTTTTAATGGATAACATTTTCCTCGCCAATTAAAATGTGTTGGTGACATTTGTTCTCCATTATTGAATTCAAAGTTTTTACTTAATTCTATAGCAAGTTTTGAGCGAATCAAGCCAATATCACCTACTTTTTGCCAAGCTGGATGATAGACTCTTCCAGTTGTAGGATTCATATAAATTTTTTCGGGTTGAAAATCAACTTTTAACAAATCGCCCGCATGAGCATAAAGTAATTCATCTTTGCCTTTTTCACAATTTTGTTTTACTTCTGTGTAAACAATTGGTACATCATCGCATCTTATGTAGTTAAGTTCTCGTCCACAAATTGATATATATGGAAACTCAGTGCCGTATCTTTTTGTGTTATTTAACTTAACACGATTGAAGAAGAATTTCAAAAATTTTTTTTCTTTCAAACAAGATGTAAAGTTCTTTATCTTAGCATCATCTAAAAATAACTGTTGTAAATAATTTATTTGGATTATTAAACTAAATAACTTATATAAAGTAGATGTGAATACAAACCATGCCTTCATGATCGATGTAATAAAAATACTCTCTAACGTTAGGTGTAGGTCTTTGCCCTTGTTCATAGCTAAAGTGGCGGCATACATTTATTAAATTTCTAGTTAATTGATTTTTTAAAATCATTTCAATAAATTTATTTTATTTAAAATTAAGAACAAATTTTCTTTGAACAATATTTATATTTTTTACTTTTCAAATACAAATCAGCTGTGTTTATGTTTAAAAGTTAGACGACCCATGTGCGCATCGTTTAAATGATGCTCAAGAAAAGTTCTCATGCTTCTAAAAAAAATTACTGGTATTTTTATTACATATTTTACTTCACATTAATTAATTACTTTAAATGTTATATATATATATGATATATGTATAGCAATAATAAATTTACCTGTTTTTGCAATTAAATGACGAACACTGCTCAAAATATGTTCGATATATTGGCAAAACATAATATGAGGACAGGTTTAACAGGTTTTAACAGGTTTAAGTTAGAAAACGGTTGTTGATGTTTTATTAGATAATTTCCTATTCCTCTATGCCTGATTGACATTAAGCAGTAATATAACTAATTAAAAAATGTTATAATATCTAATCAGCATAAAATTTTTAGTCCTTAAATATGACACATTAGAATAACTTTTGGTCACAAAATTATATTTAAGCATTAGTCTATCAATATATTTTATAAAATGAAAATCATAAAATCCATAAGCTTTTAAAGATATGATAATCACAATTAATATTTGTTTATTGTATATGTTATATTAACTATATTTACAAAATACTTTTCAGCTCCTACATTAATCGTTGTATATTAAAATTATATGAACTGCTATCATTCCTTTCGTGTTTCTCAGAAGGCTCCGTTTTAATAACTGTTTTCACGTTTAAACTATAAAGTTTAGAGGTTTGTTTATTTTTAAACATGTCACTTGGCCCAGAATTTATTACTATTTTGTTTTCAACAAGTGTTTTTAAAATACCCTGGTAATAGGTTTTTGACACCGCGAATTTTGATATATATTAAACACAGAATCTATACTGCCAATACGAAAATTTTCATTTTTTTGGCCAAGAAATCACTTCTTGAAATTAATGCAATGCACTTTAAAACAAATTATATTATATATCTAAACGAATTACTTAGAAGTTTTTTGGCTCCTAATGAAGATGAGACTTTCATCTACATATTTGATGTAACGCTATGAAATCCTTACTATTAAATTCTTCGATGACAAATAGTATTTAATATAAATTTTATATATTTGTTGTTACGTATTGTCAACTCATAACATAAAAATCACTAAGCACTTTTCCCAAAATTCAAGTTTAATTAATGAAATTTAAGTGAAATAAACTTGTTTTCATAAACATAAAAATCTCAATTTAGTATAATATACTTAATATTTTTATTTCAGGACATTTGTGTTAAATCAAATTTGTAAATGCGCTTAGATAACTGTTGAAGTTATTTAAACTTTACAATAAGCGGTTTTAATATCTATCTAATACCACATTATCATGCTTAAATATAATCTCAATATATTGTTGAGAGGTGATATTTGAAAATATATAACTTATTTCCCTTTCTTCTTTTTGCCACTGTTACTATTTGTACCAGCAGGCTTTTGTTTGCGTTGCAATTGCATTTCATCCAATTTTTCGTGAAGTTTCTTTTTTGCCTTCACCAAGTCTTTCTCTTGTTTTTTAGTTTGAGCAGGCGTTGGGTGCAAAAATTTTGTACGCTCATTTTTTTTAATAGCCTCACCGCAACCATGAACTTCTGGTAATGCATGTTTAAAGCAATAACGTTTGCGGCAATGCTCACAGTCTTGACCAATTAAACTTGTTTTTGTTTTGCATCGCGGAAAATCACACATATTGTCAACTGTCTTAACTGCGGTTAACACTTCATCCAATTTTAAATCGACTATTTTACTAGGTATTTTTTCAAGCAATTCTAACGTATTATTTGTGCCATAGTTTGGTTTCTTTCCTGGTTTCGCTGGAAATAGTGGAGGATCAGATTTCTCATCTTTTTGGTTGGTTGATGTTGATTCCTTAGTTTCAGATATTTGCTGATTTTCTAATAAATATTAATTAAATGAGAGAGATGTTAAAAGTCCTTTAGTTTTTAAAATACCTGCCATTATTTCTGGATTAATTTGAACTTTTAATTTCGTGTCCGTAAATTGTTTTTATTTACATTTCAGTTGAAATGTATTTTGTTAAATTTATTTGAACATATGTTTTTGACACATTTTTTAATAACATCTCTGACTTAATTGCAGTGATGCAATTATACAACGTCGTATCAAATATTCAAATATGTTTTATATGCATTATTTCTTTGGAAATTATATATAAGTTATTGACAGTTATTTCATTTTAATACAATCATTTATTTTATTTGGAAATTATAAGTCTTTATTTATAAACGTATTATTTGTTAGAAGAAAAAAAATAAAGCAATTAATTGATATTAATTTCTTATTGAAATTTGGGATTCAAAATTCATATAATTTTTACCCGTTTGTAATGTTATGTTTAGACTATTAAGCTTAACTCGACAAATATGTAGCAATATATCGTTTTTTTCATACGAAATCCATAAAAAATATACTAAAAAAATTCGATAAGTCTGAGTGAAAATATAATATAAGATAAAATTTTGATATTGAACATATACATTTTATTCTATAAATTTAACGTTGGAAAAAAGGTTATTACATTTTATAATATTTGGTAGATGTAAATTATAAACACTTTAAAATTTTAAGTTAAATCTATAATTTACGAATTATAGACGAATATGCAGAAGACAGTAAATTACATATCAAGCCTGAAAATTAATTTAATACTATATAAAAAAGTGTACATAATTCATTATTTAATTAAGAAAGCCTCTTATTAGTGTCATTAATATAGATAGAATATTAGAAATATGTTTATTTGTCAATTTTACAGTCATATCATTTGTGTATATTACGTATTACACATGCTTATGAGGAATACACAAATTAATCAGTGAGATGGGTGGGACTCTGCAGAAACCCTCGAGCTATTAAAGAGTAAAAGTGCCCAGATGCACTAACTTGGAAACGGCTCAACAACATGCATATATATGGCAAATTGAAAAGCAGAAGAAAATAAAAAAATATTTATGAAATACCTATGACAATAAATATCTTACTATCAAAAATGTTTAATTATATTTGAAGAAACAAAAGAACATTTAATATTAACTAATTAAAATTAATCACATTTAACCAATTCTATAGCGGTGTATCACAATAATCCGTAGTTTGTAGTAAAGTAAGCTGTGATACACATGGCTGTCATTCCAACCTATCCTAACTCTTTCTGAAGATATCAAATTAAATCCTCTCTATAGTGAGTGTATATGATCGAATCATAAATATTTTAAAGATAATTTATATATATAATAGAAAGAATTAAAAATAATTATTTTTATTTTATAATATAAATTTATATTTAAAATTCGCTTAAAAAATAATTTATTTGGAGTAACAATGATAATAAATAAATGAGAAAGAAGCAATATTTTTGCAATATAAATTACAGTCCAGGATCTTATTTATGAATAATGGAAAGGTTCTACTTGTGAAAATTGTCATTAGGAGATAGATATTATATACCATCTCCAACTCATCAATTAAAAATACTAATTGTTGTAGCTGTAACATTTTATTAAAACTATGGAACTATTTTATAAAGGATAAATAAAATTAAAACCGCCAATCTAATTGTGTTTACCAAACGCAAACGATTGTGATATACATATATGAACCTTTTTTAAACCTTTATTTATTTTGATATATACGTGTATATATACATTACCAAATATATGTACATTTACACAAAGTATCATCTTTAGTATAAAAATGATAATACCACAAATAATATCATATTGACCATTGCTTTCTTTGTGTTTTTTGCTTTCTGCAAACAAGCAGACACACCTTCTTTAGTAAGCAAATAAACACACAAAGGCATGTAGATAAGAGCGACGCAAAAGTCGTTTAGAATTTAATTTGAAATAAAAATCCCCATCGCAACAAGCACAAGCAATGCTTTGGAATCGTTGCATGTTTACAAACTTGTCGTAAACATTTAGTAACGGATTGTTGGAGCAAGTCAACAAGTGTCCATTGCATGAAGGAGTGGAATGAGCAAGTCAGCAAGCAAATTACTTTTAAATTCTAAAAAAATTTAATATTTTAAATTTATATAACCATAATGATAATATTTATTATTACTAAAATTAAATTATTAATATTTCAAATATTGGTTTAAGTGTGACAATAATAATAATAACAGTAGTTAATGATTGCATGTTTATTATCTGTCTGAAAAATAATTATATCAATAATTATTGGTAATCAAATTCTCTCGTCTCATTCAAATTATCAATAAACATTTCTTATTTGTGCTTTTCAATAAAACAATAAGTAGCACGTTTTTGATAACACTTTTTAGTACAAATGTAACAACAACTTTATCAAATATCTTACAGTAGACAGTGTTTGTGTACTTAAAGTTGTTAAAGTCGTACGATTTTTGAAATTACCGCTAGAATTAATCAAATCAGAAGAAAGGGAAAAATTATTTACACATTAAATGGATTTTCTCTTTCTCTATGTTCTTAAAAGCACGCAGAGCTTAAAATTATTTAAATTAAAAAAAAAATGACAATAATAAAATAAGCTTTACCTTTATCAAAATGTTGATATAAAGAGAATTAAGTTTGAAAAGAGAAAATTTATTTTGTTTAAATTCTAAATGATTTAAAAAAAAATGAAATAAAAACTTTTAAAAAATTTAATCCAAATCAATATTTGCATAGATACATTATTTCTTTAATGCAATAAATATTCTATAAGAAATTTAAAAAATATTCAATTAAATCAAATATTTCGTTTCATTGGTATTTTAGTATTTTTTACACAATAATGTTTTCTTCCATTTATTAATTTTTACATTTTTACTAAAAATTAACAACAACTTTTTGTTTTAATGCACCAAACAAACAACAACGATCACATACATGTGCTGCACTTATTTGCTTTAAGAGAAATGTATACACTTCGGTAAAAATAAAAAATTATTATTTCTGATATCTGTTAATATTACACTAACAAAATCTAGCGTCAAGAAACTGTGGATTGTATTGCTTTACTAAAGCAAATTGTTGTTGCGAAACTTTTGATGATCCACTTGGAAATAAACATAGAAAATTTAAGAGCGACACCTTATTATATTTATTATCATTGCTCATAATGAAATTATAATTTTAAGTGGCGGTTGATTTTAAAATTTAATTTAATAGTTGAAAAAAAAGAGTTAGGACTTAAGACATTGCACTCTTGCAGCTTAAATTAATTATAGAATTTTTTTTATTTTATTTTTTTAGTTCTAACTGATAAGAGTACTTGGAATTTAATTGTCAAGTGATTATTTGTTTCAAGAATTTTCCTTTTAATTAAAAAATTACTAATAAATTTATTAGTTGACTATTTAAATCATATTGAAAATATTGAAAATGTTATACTGCATATGAAGTACCCTACTAAATTATATTTATATCAATCACGAAGTAAGCCCCTTCACTTTACTCATGTGTGCAGACAGTTTTCAACTTATCTCAAATATATTCACTAAAATTAACTAAAATCGAGTTGCTAGTTAATAGCAAAATTATAATTTCAAAATTAATAAAATGTTAGAATTAAAATGCGTAAAAAATCTTTCTAAACATTAAAACAATATAGAATAACATCTACTAACATAGAACATATGCTATGTTTTCTTCAAAAAATATTTCCTCTTGCAATAAGGGCAATTTTAATTAATATTAATTTTTCTTTTCTGCCTCTCCGTATTGCACAGAAGAATGTATGTGAATAAATATTCCATATTTTATTAAAAACTTTGCTTAACACGAACCTGTAATTTTTGTTCTATTATCAATCGGTTAAGATGATTTCAATAATTATTAAATAATGCAGTCATTTTATTACTTAAAATATCTGATTTTTGCACGATTATCAACATTTTGTCCTTGACTTTAGTTCCAAAAACAATTTTATTTATATTTATTCATTTATGTATTTTTTTTTATATTTAATAAAATGATACACATTTCAATTTGTTTTTATTTCACTTAATAAAAATTTCTCTTTTTTAATACGTTTTTATATTAAAATATTCATTATTTATTGTCATAATTTTTTATTACCGCACATGGAAAACATAAATAAAAAAAAAAACATTTTGAAATAACAGTGCCGGTTTTACGCCGCATGTGAAGAGCGTTTTTTGTACTAAAATAAAAGCACTCTCTTCGAATGTGCCAATGTATATAATCTGGCTCTTTTTTAAATCTCATTTTTTACTCTTTTAATACTTTTAATAGCAATCTTCAAGTTTTGTTGTAGTCATTGGCAATGTGGCCGGCCGATAAGCTTTCCTGACATTCATGCGAGTTGAGGACAATACACGTTTTTTTGTGGAATTAATGTTGGAGCAAAATTTTGCAAAAGTTTCGATTTCATTTTTTAGTCGGACGTGAAAGTTTAGCGCGAGTGGGTTGTGTTAGCGGATAAAGACCTTAAGTTTTTCATATAATTTTTAATTAATTAGGCAATTTTGGTGGCAAATTTATGGTGATTTGGGTGCGTGAAATATAATTATTTGGTGAAAAAATTTTTAAAATAAGTGATTTGTAATTGTATTTTATTTTTCTGTTTTCTGCAATTTTTTATTATACAATTTTGCTTTTATTAAAGTACAATTTTTTAATTACGTGTACTATATATACAACATAAACTTTATTGACAGTGGCAAGTAAAATATTCAATGTGATTCTAATTCTGAATCACAAAAAAAAATTAAAGAACACAAAAAAGGATAAAACAGGATTTTAAGCTTTACAATAACACATCTGCTTTAAGCAAACTCAATAACACACATAAACTACAACAACGAGCAGTAAAAACTACGGTATGTGCCTTGCCTATTGGAATGCGTTATTCTTACTTAACTCAATTGAATACGCAAAAGAACACTTTTCTTTCCTTTTTTCTTGCTTCGTTTTTAATTGATTATGAAGGGAGAAGATTCAATCAAGAAACAATTAATATTATTATTTCGAAATATTTATTACACAGTTTTTTGCACTTTTCACTATCTTTCTTAAATGTACTTAATATTATTGAGTAACTAATCGGAATGCATTAATTGCATAATGAATGCACTCTACACATGGCGCGCAGTACGTGAATTTGTGGATTTGTGGATTTCATTTTAGTCCTGATCATGCGATTAATAAAAAGTGTACTTTATAAATAATTTATAAATTAAAATTTCGAAACAATTTTTGTTTTATTATTTTAATTTTTTGTACGAGTACTTTTGGAATAAAGAGACAAGTAAATACTTCTTGTACAAATGTTCAAATCTGGATTCAAATAAGGATTAAAAAATCATTAATTTAAATTTAATTAAAGATTTTCACAGATTAACTATAAAAAAATGTATAATAAGAATAATTATTATTAATAATAGAGAATAATTAAAAGAATAAATAAAAATTAAGAATCATATATTCTTAACATTTAATTTTAAATCTGTGATAATTAAACGGTGTTTATACTCTACGTACACTGAAGTGAAAGTTATTATACATTACCAATAATTAAGTGATTAGAACGATATATAAATGAGTGTTAAACGTAAAAAATATACGTAAGGATTTTAAATATGAAGAATAAATCAATGTCATAAATCTGAACACATATGATATATGAGTCTTCTAACATTGACTGCTACGGTATTTTTCAGATCCTCAATGTAATAAGACGAATATTTGCATAATTTCTATCAATTCTATGTTCTTATAAACCAACTTTAATATTTATTCTCTTACTTAAACATTTCTTATCATATTTGTCATTAATAAAGAAATTTTTCGAACAGTACTGAACTACAACAACAAAAAATCGTTTTATATTATTTTAATTAATTGAATTTTTGACTAACCATACAGCTGTTTCGAGTATTGCCAAATACCCATCATCAGTGGTCTTGGAAATAATTTTTGTATTTAATTATACGTAAATAATTTTTTGAGACTGTAAGTACCAGGAATTTAACTCGTGTCCTGCCAAATTTGAAGCTCAGAGCCAGCGCACCTTAACCAACTGACCCAAAGCTTACGTAACTTTTATGTTCGCACATTTTTCCGGAGTTTTGTTTACTTTGCTGTGAAAGTTTTATTAACAAATTCACTATCTGTTTTTTTATTAGAACGAAATCATAAACCAGCTGTAGAATAATTGAATTAATTAATTATATATTTATTTTTTAATTGTTAAATATCAATACTATTCAGCTAGACAATAGAGCAAGTAAATAAACTATGAATTATAGTTAGCATAGTTAGTAATACAGCTAGACAATAGAGCAAGTAAATAAACTATGAATTATAGTTAGCATCAAAATTTCAGTCAAAGAAGCTATGTAAGTGTGAGGAACTCAATTTAATTCAGCGGAAGTAAAATCTATTTTGGACCATTTTATTATATATTACATCAATTTTACTATTGTAACAAAGAAATTTTTTATTTTCTTTATATGTTATTTAGTAGATTTAAAAAATATGTTTCAATATTAGGTAAAATATTAGTAAATATAAGGTAAAAGAACAAAATACAAACTAATTGTTGTAATTTTTGGTTTTTTAAACAATAAGAGCAATAAAGTTAAAGAAATGCTATTTATTAAAATACACATTGATTATATTTTTTTAATTTTTGAAATATGCATAAAATATGAATATAGCAAAAAATTATTCCCTAACAGATAAACTTCAAACTTGAAAATTTTTAATTTTATATACACTGAAATATTTGTTTCATTATATTTTTTTGTTGAAATATGAACAAAAATTTTAACAATAATTAAGTGTTACTTATTAATTAATTGATGTGTTAAAAAACTTCAAACCCGGTTAACTTAATTTTCACTAAAAATATTTAATCGAAAAAAGAACCCAAACTTAGAGAATCAGCAAATGTAATAGATTTTCTACGATAGAGATTACATCTCTATCGTCTTTATGCAATATTATTTATAATATATGATATACATATTCTTAATTTAAATTCAACGAAACAAATCGATTTTGTGGCTCCAATTCATTATAGCACTGGTATATACAGAGGAATAATGCACATATTCACGTTATGTTGGTTTAAGTTAGGTTATATTGAAATGTTGGTCTTGTACCCAAAGCCGAATTCAGCTCAAACCATAGCCCACTATAATGGCATGACTCACCCATTAAGGTGAGAGTAAACCAACCTGGCAAGTCTTTAAACTTGGACAAATCCTTAACTTCTCCTAGCCAATGATGAACACTAAAACATAAAGAGTAATACAGTTTCCCCTCACCTGCAGAGCCACAATCCCTACAAAAGTTATTATAGGGTAGACTCAGTCTGATAGCAGATGTTCCTAATGCCAGTGCCACGTCAGCACAGGTATCATAGAGGTGAATAGGTTGGGCCTTGGTTGAAGCAACTGACTGGTATGTTTCTTGCCCAGTTTTTATCACGTCAATCTAGAGATCTGAAAGAACACACATACTTAGAGCGTAGATAGTAAGTACATAGGGAGATTAGTAAGAGATTTTCCCACAGAAAAATAAAAGAACAAAACTGCTTTTTAGTTAGATATATTAATATGTTAATATTTTGCTAAAAATGTTAATAAAAAATTATTTAGAATTATTATTATGATTATTTATAGTTTTCTTTTTTCTGTGTAGCAAATATAAATTATTAATGAATATGCAATTAGCACTTTTATAAATTATTCACCACAGCCAAATGTGAAGTGAACTTAAATCACGCTTTATAGCTGCATTAATTATTTCACTTTTTTATTTATTAAAAAAATAGCTGTCACGCTTTAAATATACAAACTAATAAATTCTTAATAAATTTGAAACAAACATGGCATATTAATATTATTTTTATTAACAAATTATTTATTCGATGCACAAATGCAGTGGAACTGATTATTTATCGTTTATTTATTTTTTTTTTGAATACCGGCTTCTCAATTTGAAAGCAACTCAACTGAATGTGGTGAATAATTTTAAATTGAATTGTTTTGTTCTCAGTTTCGTGCAGAAAAGAGGCGAAATAATCACCGCTTAAGTTGTGTGATTGCCTCGTTTCAAAGGTCAAGTTGAGATTGCAGTACAAAACCAGACACAATATGATATTGACTGTTTGGAAAAAATTTCACATGATAATGCGAACATTTCCATTCATATGAATATATAGGTATTTACATTTATACATATGAAATGATATGATTTTTTAATAAATTATTTTTTTTTTGTTTTCATATTTAACATGTGACTCGGACCGAGTTTGTCCGACTTTGTTTCCAACAAAAAATCTCGATCTCATGATATTATTTAAATAATGAAATGGGCTACATTTATAACACACACGTTCTTTTAATAAAATTTTTAAATTTAATTTATGAACTCGTATGTACATGTGTGTGAGTGTGTGTGGTAGCATCGATTTTGAAAAAGTTTTATAAAAAAAAGTAGCGTTGACAAACTTTAAAACGAAAGCAAAATAAAACAAAAGCAAAAATAAAAAACTAAAAACTAAAAACGTGTACAAGGAAACAAACCAAGAGAACGCAATGTCAAAAGAAAAACACGAGTTTGCCACATAAAAATAGCAACAGAAGCAGCATGACATATAATTAAATTCCTCTTATTGTTGTTGTTGTTATAATATGAAGCTTATTTTTATGAATTCGCCGATATGCATATGTAGTAAGAATAGTAATCATAATAGTGTATTATGTATTCAATTGTAAAGTACTATGCCCAACCATATGTATAGCGCTTCCATTAAAAAAGTTTTTCGGAAAGTAAACGTTGGGTTCATTCAACGCATTGTGTTTCATGGCAGCCTGTGTTTGTTGTAATTTGACTCATATACTCTTCAGTAACAATAAATTAATAATATACATAAATGAGAAAAATGAATAATGCGTTACTCTTATTGTAATTGAAGGTCGTAAATGACGCTACAGTTGGCATAGTGAACTTTTAAGAATGCTGCAATGTAAACATATTTGCATAACTCATACGCTATGGGTACCAATTTCATTATTTTCCTTCTTTTCTTTTTTGAAATTCTATTATTGAATAATATTCAGAACACAGTTGCTTGAACATACCTCACAAAAGTCTATTTAAGACAATAGTTTTTAATTACCTTCATTGTAAAGAAATTATGTTTTAGTTGTGTAATTTAGTAAATTTTCCATATTAACATATTTATATTTCTTGTTAGCTGAAATATGAAATATATTGAAATATTTAATTGTTTTTATACCAGTTTCAATATATATACGGAAAGAGTAGTCTCTGCTAATTTAGTCTCTGGAAACTTACAGTGACGATTCTAAACTAAGCTGCAAAGTCAGCAGTAGAATTTTTTGTAATAAATAAGATCATAGCGTTTCGGTTCGACTGCGTGACCATTGCAATTACCCAAAGACTCAAAGTGAGTCCAGAGCTATGGCTGTCTGAGACGAATATCGCAATTTTTTTGAACTGTCAAGCTAGAGTTAAATTTCTGCTATGCCTTACAGCTGCTTCTGGAATTGGAGAATGATGAGCTTCTCTAAATGAGCATTCTAAGTTTGCTAGTATCCAAATCATATGGTTACCTAAAGACAGAAACATCTTCGGTAACTGTATCTTCTGCAATTCTGATATTAGCAATGCTCTTGAAATAGCATACTGGCTATTAAACAGAAGTACCTAGATTTGACAAGGCAGTTGTATCACAAGACTCACCAAATCCAAATTACATAGGACTCGTACCAGTCGGCCGCTTAAGAAAAACAGAATCAACTCAGTACTATGATGTCGGTACTGATAAGTCACTGCGTATTACGAA